TTAAAAATTTTTACTTATATTTATTTTAAAATCTAAGTAACCTTTTAAAGAAAAGTGTTGCGCAATTTGTTCCCAGAAAAACATGATAAATATGTTATCAAATCATTGCCTAAGAAATGTATTTTATTCATTGTAAAACTTTAGGATGTCATCGTGAATACAGAAACATAAACATAAACACACCTTACATTCATTTACACTTGTGATCTACATCTCCTTAATCTATCGGTGTAATGTAGCTTCATATTGATACATGTGATACAAATAAACTGAGTGGGTTAGGTTAGAAAACCCAGTGAGTATGTAGGCTTTTCAACCCACATTAATATAATTATTATGTTTAAAGATCAAACAATCAACCCAATTACACATCCCCATTATCTTCTTTAATCTTAAGGGTCTATCCTAAGAATCATCTATCCTACATTCGTTCATTCCAAAGTCCATTGCTTCCAGGGTTTATATGACATGCACTAAATCAATCGTTGCCAATGCTTGTTCGTAAAGCACTAATTCCATAGTTGCTAAAGTTCATTCATTGGGTACTAAATCCATAGCTACCATGGTTTATCCAATACGTACTAAGTCCATAGTTACCAATGTTTATCTAACAGGTACTAAGTGCATAGCAACCATCGTTTATCCAATAGGCACTAAGTCCAAAGTTGCCGATGTTTTTTATAAGGCACTAAGTCTATGGTTGCCAGTGTTCACTCATATCATCTTTCATCTCTCATCATTCATCTACCCATGTTTTACCCAACGTATTCGTAGATATAAAATACATATACAGTTTAAATTATTTAAAACATGTATAAAATCATTCATCGCGCATAGATAGCAAGTATACAGGTTATATGCACACATAGCACGTAATTTATGTAAAATACTTCATATCTATGTGTAAGGTGAAAGTAACTATGCACTCACTTGTTAAAATGACGACTCGAAATTCGAGTAGGGCCTCACTTCTTAACGATATGATTTCCTTCGATGAAACCTAGTATTATTACAACTAGATTTTAGTCTAATATTTATTGCTGCTAATTATTAGTCTAGATTTTTCATTAACTCAAAGTCTACTTCATGAACTATCAAGTAAGGAACAACCAGGTAGGATTATATCTGAGGTAGGGTCTATTTGGAAATCTCACTTTAAACATCTTAATAAATCACAGCATAAACATCATTCCTATAAGTTGATCAATCAGTGTAACGAATTTGAATCACTGATAAATCTTATTTATAGGTTCATAATAACAATATTATATTTAAATATAAAGTATATTTAAAGTATGGTAGGCGTATTTCACTTACAACGGGTTTTACTAAAAACCGGGCTTCGCTAAAGCAGAGTTTTTGATTCGAAAGCTCATCTTCTCGGAGCCCTCGGGTGCTCTGGGGATTTCCTCTAGTGCCTTGAGGCTACTAGGGCTTTAGGAGGGTTTTTGGGGGTTTAGAGAGTGTATAGGGAGAGAGAGAGAGAGAGAGAGAGAGAGAGAAAGAAAGAGAGATAGAGAGAGAGAGAGAGAGAGAGAGAGAAGTGGGTTTTGGTGTGAAGAATGAAAGCACTCTCGCATGGTATTTATAGGCTGGAATACAGTTGGGTGCCACATGTCACCATCTGGTGGCAAGAATTTGAGAGAAAGCAATAGTTCAGATCGCGCCACATCACCCCCTTTGCAGTAGCACACTCTTGACTTCTAAACACAGTAACTTTCGTATACAATCTTAATTTTTGACTTTTTTATATCCACTCGTAGATATTGCCACATCACCCCCAATTTTAAATTTAACATTATGAGAAGATTACACTGTCAAATGACTGTTTAGAACTCATAACTTCTACATATGAATTATGTTTTCGTCTGTCTTTTTATCGTTGAGCTCTTATTAATGAGATATTCAATTCTCATTTAGGTTGCATTGGCCAAAAATCGATCGATCTAAAATTCGAATTTCATGTTGTGCACTATTGTGCCAAATCTTAGAAAAAACATAACTTCCTCATACGAAGTCAGATTTGGGCGTTCTTTTTATGTATGTTCTATGTTTAACATATACTACAACTTTCATTTATATATCTAAGGCTAAAAATTACTTTATCAAAAAATTACTTTTTACGATTCCTGGTGTCTTATAGGTTTTGTCGCAAAACTTCGACAAGACATAACTTCTTTGTTATAACTCGGATTTCAGCGTTCTTTATATGTACAGAACTCTTGTGACATATACTATAACTTGGTTAAGATTATTTATTCTAAATATTATTCTATTAAAAAGTTATTTTTGACGCTTATTGCCTCTAAATTGACTAGCCCGAATATACGGGCGTTACAAATTTGTTGTCACCATGAACTTTTGAGAGACTCATTGTCCATCTTCTTACCTTATTTTCTTACACAAAGCACGCACTTAGATGCATAACCCATTAGATCTGTAGTCGAAACCAACAAGAATTGTGGTTTGCTAAAGCTTTGTGTTTATAATCTTGAGGTCATTACCACCATGATTTTAGTGAAACCCACAAAACAATACCATTAAGGAATTAACAGGTGAACTATTAATTGTTCTAGATTTTTACCAAGGAATTAACGGAAGAAAACACTTAAAGTTTTGCTATGCCTTTGCTTGATGTTCAAAATCTCATTTTCATTCTTTTTGTGTGATCTTAATGAAATTGATCATTACCAAGTCATTTCTTCCCAAGAAAATCAAGGTTTTCATTTCATGAAATGTGATTTTAGTTTGAACATTTTCAATTGTTTTTTACCTTATAATCTAACCAATATTTAGTTGCAGTTGATTATACTAATCACTCAAGGATTTTCATACATAACACTACTCTTATGTTAAGTTGCATATATGTTTGAAAACACAACCTACATTCGACATTAATCAAAAGATGCCCTTCGATACTTCTCTATTAGTATTCGAGTGTGATTCACAGGAAACCATACAAGCACTTCGATATCTCTCTTGATGTCGGAGGAATATAATCTTTACATGGGATCATATTGGTTTTATATCAAAGTTTATTTGATATCACGACTTTCCAAAAAAAAATTATTAATCTTGATTCTATATTTTTCATCGGAACACAATTGCACTAGAATCCTTGAAGTTTCAAGTAATAAGAACTTTTACCAAGATTCTGCAAGGTCTGGGTTATGATTTCTTTTATTATGCCCATTAGTGGATGAGACCCAACCTTCTCTATTCTCAACTAGTTTATAACCCGTGGGAACCACGGTTATAAATTTAATCAAACTTTTATAGTAAAAACTCAAAATGATTAATAAGTTATTTTAAATAAATTATTAATTTAAGAGATATTTTTATTAGTTATGTGAAATTATAATCATTGATTCAAATAAATATATAAAATTAATTTGTAATATATATATTAGATATTTTTTATTTATGAATTAATGAAAACAATAATTTAAAATTTAAAATAGAATCACATTAATGAGGAGGTGTAATAAATTTAAAATGGAAAACTAATAGATTGACAAGTGGCAACACATTAATTAAAATGTCTAATATGATGACACATGACAAAAGAGCTACTCTTTTATTAGTATAGAGATATCAAAGTTTGGTTCTTGTTCGATGATTTAACAATGGAAGTTCGATATTTGTTAGAAGGTGATGTGACTGTTATGCTGATGATATCAGCTTACTATATCTTTATATCTGTTAGAAGGAAACTACTTATTACCCTTACACGTGGCAAACACTGACAATGACTTAGTTACCTTCTTTCCACATGGCATATTTTTATTGGAAAACATTTCAAATTCTAATTTGACGCCATAAAAAGGGGATTGATGGTTCTATTTCGTTTTTTCCGCTCTCACAAAATTCTCTCAAGAACCTTAACCCTAAATTCTCCTTTCTTCTAAAAAACCAATTTGATTGATTATCATCATGTCTAATGTGGATTTGCTCAACACTACTAATGACGATACCTCCATTCGACATAATAAGAGTCAGTCAAACAACATCTAGTTTAATCGAGTTGTGAGTTGTGAATGCCTATCCTGAAGTTCTTTATATGCTTGTTCAATGTCTGAATGACTCCGTTCTTCATCATGCTTTATCTTCATCTTTTGCAATGATGATGAACTGGTTATCATTGCATGTTCCACAACTGTTTACAACAGGAATGGTGAGGTCATTACATTTCAGATGGAAATCAAAGAGAACAAGAATTTATATAAGAAGCAGTTTTCTCAAATTCTTAAATTGGAAGTCAATGGTCCTTTCAATGTTCCTTCTTCTGATCAGATACTTACCATGTAGAATGAGATGTCGTATTCTCCTTCTACTACTTTAATTAGTGATTTTAGGAATTCAAAATTACCATCATTACGGAGTTTCTTCTTTGGAGTGATTTTCTGATGCTTGACTAGGAGAAATTCTAGTCTTGAAAAGGCAAAGCTTCAGCCATATTCAATCCTAGCAAATCTATACTACAATCTCAAGGTTGATTATGCTTCTCTCTGTGGGATGATTTATAACATATATTAATCATGTGAAGAAGGCGATGAAGTGGGAACATCCCTATTGAGTACATGTGAGGGGGAACATCACCACAAGTGTTTGTGTACTTTTTTTTATCTTTTGTTAAAGGGTTTTGTTAGAGAGAGTTTTCCTTTACAAAGTTGTTTTTAACATGACACAAAATGTGTTTTACTAAGGATTGATGAAGTTTGGGGAGTATCCAATTGAATACTTCTTTGCTCATTGTGTACTCTTTTGTCATTTGTTTAAAATAAGACACTTCATGGATAGTTAATTCCTTCGTTCAAGAGATCGAGATCGTACTCTTTTATCTTTTAGCCAAAGTTTTTGTCCCAAAGGTTTTCTAGGGAAAGGTTTTTAACGAGGGGTATATGAACATTCTTTTGTTTTATAGATATAATAAAAGAAAGAAAATCAAAGAGTTTACTGAATGCTAACATGAGACTGAATAACAACCCAGGATCGGTTCTACAATTGTGGAGCACTGGAGCATGACTTCGCAAGTTAAAACAAACTTGTTCCTCAAAAAGGAGGTATTATTCTTCAAATTGCAAAAAAGTGAGCCTTAAAAGACTCTGAATGCAAAAACTTCAAGACAGATTTCCATTGTCACATATCTTATTACTGCTGTTTTGCATGTCTCAAACAAAACGCTTTCAGCCTCACAATTGCATCTTGAAGCACATTTGGCTCGGCAGCAAAACTCACTCGAACCCAGTTTTTCATACCAACAGCATACCCTACACAGATATAACATTAAAACTTAAAATAAAATTAAAATTATAGTAATATAGACAAGTGACCATTGTTTATGCAAATGAAGGTGCTATTTCACCTGGAAAAAGGATCATGGATTCCTCTTTAGCCAACTTCATACAGAAGTCTGTATCATCAGCAACGTCATCAAAAGCTTGTAGTTTCAACTTCACCTGTACAAGCAAATTCAGCCAAATTTTAACAAATTGTATTTAACGAACATTAACTTTATTAATAAATATCTCTACCATCGCAAACATTGATCCCTCGGGTTTGTGTGGGCATGCAACAAAGGGTATCTCTTTAAGCCTCTCATAGAACATATCCGAAGCCCCCTTCAGTATTTTGTTGATATTCAAGAAGAAAGAGTCTGGCGTGTTCTTCATGATATAAGGAATAGCTCCCTACATACGTTTTAAATATTCAATGTAATTGAAACGAGTCATTCATCAAAAATATTAATTCTTCAACTACGAACCTGAATAACGGTTGGCGGATCTGCTGCTATCACAAGAGTACTCTTTATGGTTTCAGCAAGCTGACATGATTACAAATGTTAGATACGAGAATAATGTGATTTGTAGTTCTTGAAAAATACATATAAATGTTAGAGAAGTTCAAAAAGCTAGAGAATAGAGAAAATTAAAACCCCGGTTTTGCGAAGAATGCCATTAGGATCACTTATTGCTATCCAACCAAAACGCCAACCAGGAATGATCCATCGTTTTGATAATGACCCAAGCGTCACAACTGGTGCGATATCTCCAAATACTCCCATGGGGATGAAAGGCTTTTGTCCAAAAACTTGATGCGCATAAACTTCATCGGCTATCACCAAAATCCGAAGTTCTCTTGCTAATTCCGCTATCTATAGTTTCCGAACAAACAAAAACAAGAATCTATACGTTACGTACCACATAACATCTATCATAATATTCAACCATATTTGTAATAGGAATAACATTATTCAACCGTATCATAATAACCGCACCTTTCGCATATGGTCGATTGTGAAAACATTTCCACAGGGATTTCCAGGGTTGATGAGGACAATAGCCACCGTATTTTCATCTGCCAATGCTTTGACACCATCAAGATCAACTTCCCAACCTTTCTCAGGGAGGAGATCAAAATGGCGAACCTCAAGTGGACTAAATCTTGCGCGAGCTTCATAAATTGGGTAATTAGGCCGAGGAAAAAGTATATTAGCACCCGGACGTGAAAGAAATGTTAGTACGACTTCGATAGCATGATTTGCTCCAGCCGTTAGGAAAACATCATCAGCTGTTAATTCGTAGGGAAGATCTCTCGTTAGATACTCAGCAATAGCCCTGTTAAATTAATGAACAAAATATTAGCAACCCGTCATAATTATTGTGTCGTTAATAATGATGCTTAAAATCAAAATCTGGAAATACAGATAATACTAAGGCAACAAACCTTCTTGCAGGAATAATTCCAACACCAGCAGGGTAACCATTGAACTGAGTGGATTGAATTGATTGAACTAAGGCTTCTTCTAATACAGGAGATGGTTTGAAGCATGGATACACCGAAGGATCACCATGTCCGAGATGAATCATTGGTTTCCCAGTTGCGGTTTCATCAATGTTGCCCATGATGGCTTCGAGGATGTTTCTGATCGTGAAAGATGCAGCTGCATGAAGCTCATGGTTCTCCTTGAAACCCCATTCCTGCTTCTCCATTCTTCTTGCTATTCTTCGTTAATTTTCTTTGGTTATGTCGAGAATGGCTTGATTTATAGAAGTCGAAATGTGGTTGAGTGGTTGATAATAGCGGTGGGCCCCAGCAGATGGACATGCACTGGGTTTAAATTTCTGCTGGTCGCTAGCCAACACATTTACTCTACGATGATGATGAAGGGTTCACATGTTAAGGACATGTCACAGTCTTACAATTAAAAGAACAAATTTATCTTTGTTTCGGTAATTTCCATGTGCCACTTACGCTGCATTATATTGATGAGACGTTCACATGTTAGGGACATATACATGGGTGAGGAGGTTATTATATTTGAATGTACTCATTGGATGATATTCAAATTATATATAGACATAAAAAGTAAAAACAACATTTCTAGCTTAAAGTCCCAACAATTATCTTACAATATGACAACTCAGTCCTACCATAACAAGTTCTTGAAAAGAGCAAATTTTACGCACCATTGGCACTTTGACCCAACTATAATTATATTTTCACAAAGCATTAATTGGCGCTAATATAGATGCATGAACCAACGGAAAAAGGGGTTTGAATGCGGATTATTGCTCATTGGTTACCTATTTTACCAACAATTTTTTTTTTCGGTATTTTTTTTTTTTGGTATTATTTATTGCCTATTGGTTACCTATTTATTTATTGATCCTAGACACACCAATCTACACTTAAAAAAAAAAAAAAAAAAAAAAATTAAGTATTTTTATTTTTTTTGGTATTATTTATTGCCCATTGCTTACCTATTTATTGATCCTATTGACACACCAATCTACACTAAAAAAAAAAAAAAAAAAAAAAAAAAAAAAAAAAAAAAAAAAAAACACTTGACGGGTTCTTGAAACTTTAAATTTGATTACAGGGGAAATCTCTAATCTCTAAATATTATTAAAAGAGAAACCTTATGACATCATCTAAAATAATCTGGATCGTTGATTGTGTTTTTTTTATAGGTTTTACACCCTTAGATTAATTTTTGCTTACGTCACCTTGATCAAACAAAAAGTCAATCCGTTATATTAGGAAATTAAATGTAGGAATTGAATGAAAATGATACTTGAATTCTTTCCAAACTTACAACTACAAAATTGGTTCCTTATAAATGTAAACCTTAAATTTAAGCTCTATTTCCATTCAAAATTTCTTTCCAAATACATTATATGTTGAAATCTCGGAAACTATTAATTTCAAATTTCAAAAGTTTCAAATATTTTTATGAACCAATACACTTTCAAACATGATATCTTCTATTTTAAGTTTAAATGAGATTTCAATTGATTACCTGCTAATTTCCATCATATTGACTTGTATATATATTTCAAACCATTTTAAAAATCGATTTACACAAACATTATGTCATAATTCCCACGTAGAAAACAAATGCAAAAAAACTTCAACATTCCCATCAGTTTGATTAGTCGAATAAATGTATGTATTTCTTCCTTGAATCATTTTAATCTGTAAGTTTGATATTGTTTTCGAAATTATATGTTTTTACTCATTCGTATGGTTCTTTGTTGAATACTTATAATTTGGATGTATAATGTCGTTTTTTGATTTTTTTTTTTTTTTTTTTTGATGTTTTGTTCGGTTCTTGGTTCCATCTTTTTAATTGGTAACTATGATCCTATTTTCGAAAACAGTAAACTCAATGTTAAAATTGGATGTTATATATAATGAAATTATGATGTTACATGTGTGTGTATACCTTTGTAAAAAATCAATAGACAAGACAAGAGATGGCATGACATAATATAACAGACGGGTTGTACAAAATACATGAACGCCCTCGTTAGAAAGTTTTTTTATGTCTCCGGTAGTAACAAAATAAGAATAAGAAATATACCTTCTCAACAATTGATGTGAGCTTTAAAGTTAAATATAAGCATGCTGTGAAAGATGAAAATAGGCTTCCGTATTCTTTTTTCAAAAAAAAAATCGGTACCATGCATGGGCAGGTAAAAATGCACGATATAATATAAGTGTGCACTCAACTAGAGTCAGCATTTGATCCTGAAATACCAAAAACGCCCCTCAGAACCTTCTGGAAAAAAAAAATCAGGTATACTCAAGGACCAAATGTAATCTACTCTAAACTTAAGTGTATATATATATATATATATATATATATATATATATATATATATATATATATATATATATATATATATATATATATATATTGTTGTTATGCTATATGTTTTTTAGTTTTGGTTCGAAGGCAAAATGGTGATTTAAAATAATAATAATAATAATAATAATAGCTAGGCTGTTAACTTAGGCAATCATAAAAGTTTTATGGAACAGTGAAACAAGGTCCAAAAACTACAACCTGATTCTTTTAGGGACCAAAACCAAAAAAATCAACTAAACATAGGGACCAAATATGTAAATCACTAAAAATAAATGAAAAAACTTTTGTTTATACTGATCCCCCCCCCCTCTCCCAGTTTTAAGGTCATGATGGTAGATTGAGCTTCATCACCTCTGCCCCTAATTTGCTCTTTGCTTTATAGTAAGGAATGTTCTTTACTACCACTGGATCATTTCTTGCATGTTCACGATCCATTGATATAATCCCTGTTGTATTTCAAATTCAATAACAAAATTGTAATTAATTAATTTCTCATTTAAGTTAATAAATTATAAACTTATCTCACTTCCTGCTCATCCAAGTTTTCTCATTGCTATAGCATCAGGAAGTTTATCATATCGCATATTTTTCTAAATAAGAAACACTAATATCAACAAAAAAAAGCTATCTAATTTCGTAATAAAGTTGAATTAAAAAATAAGTAAATAAATAAATAAGAAATAGAAGAACCTTGTATTACCACCATATTTTATGTTTGACCTCATCACCATATTTAAATCCTCCCAAAATTTGAGGCATTGTGATTAACCAAAATGCAACAATGCTTGGATCTTTCATGCTATCAATAGTATGCCGAAACACAAAAATAGATGTTTTGAAGTGAGATAATTGTTACAAGAGGAAAAGGTGTAGAATCGTAATTGGCATTTAGCTCATAAGGGCTTTTTGTTTTTTTTTTCATTATGTTGTAAGCTTTGCATGGAGAGTCGATAATTTGCAAAGTAAATAAAACTAAAGGGGTGTTTTTTTTCCTTCATTAAACTCTATAGTGAATGACTATATGGATGAAGTGTTCTATACACAAAGATTGTAGATAAAGATGGAAAATAAAACGCAATGGATTATGAAAAATCACAAAAAATAAGAACCAAACCTAGAAACCAACATCGAACAAAAACCCTACTATCCTTACTTCAAAAAAAATCAACGTACCTGCACATACTCAAAACCGTAGAAAGAATTTCACAAAAAAAATGTTATTCCATAAAAAATAAAAAAAATAAATAAAAAAGGAGCCTGAAAAAAAAATGGTGGTAAACCGAAGAAGGCATATCAAAATCAACAAAAAAACAATGAAGATATAAACATAAATGATGGAACTGGTAAATGATTTCTATCATATTATCCCTAAAATAAAAAAGAAGCCATCAATGAATCTTAAGATTTTCGGTGATAGTGACAATAACTTAGATTAAGGAAAAAAAAAGATCTGATATTAGAGATGAAGTGGGGGGAGATGATTAGCTTCGTTGTAGATTTATTGGTTATAGTTTCTTTATATTAAATGTTGTGGGGGTTTTATGTGGTTCATTTTGAAAGAACATAAATAAGTTGCTATTTTTTGAAATAAACAGTTATATTTCGCAATATAGCCATAAAATAACAATATATTTTGAAAGTACATTGTTAAATGTTGGATTATACTTGTGTAGACTCATTTTCACGCATGGTTGGCTATATATAGTTGTTTTCCGTATCACAAGTAAAAAATGTTTGAAGGTACTTATATGTGACAAACAAGGTCATTGAACTAATAAAACAAAAAATGTTGTCTATAAAGAGGTCCTTTAACGCTATATATATATATATATATATATATATATATATATATATATATATATATACCTATTTTAGTGTAATTTCTACACATTTCAATAATATCAATAACCCTATTTTTTATAATTATTTTGTAATATCTTTATAAATTTGAATTTTTTATATGTGTTCCCCGCGTTTAACGCGTGTCATAATCTAGTTGGTAAATAAAGAGAAGTCATAGGTCAAAATAGTATTAGAGTCGTGTGTAGTAGGATAAAATAGGATGCTGTCTAAAAAAATTCCTATTAAGAACATAAAATTTTCTATATATGCATTGCTTGAAAAAACTAAAAGTTATCAAGAAATTAATAGATCACCTAAGAAACAATTATTAGATGGATGGAATTATAAAATATGCGGTATAAATAACATCATCTCTTTTTTTATACACACCAATGTAAAACACATCACACACTAATCTAAACAGCAATCTAGTTTTTAAAATAATTAAACTGAAAATTGTAACATACACGTTCTGAAATTGTGTATTGTTATTATTAAAAGTGAAAAAATTTGAGTTTTGAGTTCTAAAAAGATGGTTTTTACTAAAAATGAAGTAAAACTATATGTATAATCACTTAGAAAATATTGGAAGTCTTATCAGATTCCAATTAAAAGCCAAATAGTGAAATTTAGCGAAAATATAAAATTTTAAATAAGTAAAATTTAATTATTAAAAGTTTTAAATAATCTTGTTAGAAACTTGTAGGCGAAAACCTCGTCGAAATCCGAGTTATAACGAAGAAGTTATGACCAGCCGAACATCCGCGACAAAACCGGCACGGCACCGAATGATGTAAAAAGTGAGTTTTTGATAAACTACTTTTTTAGCCTTAGAAATCTAAATGAAAGTTGTAGTATTCGTTAAACCAAGAAATTCGATAAAAAGAACGTCAAAATCTGACTTCGTATGAGAAAGTTATGATTTTTCGAAGTTTCAACTTAGCAGTAGACAGCTAAAAACTTGAATTTTAGATTGATCGATATTTGACCGATAAATCCTAAATGAGAATC